TGTGTGTGTGTGTGTGTGGAACCGGGGATTGAACTCAGACCCTTGCGCTTGCCTGGCAAGCACTTATTCTACTGAGCTGTCTCCCCAGCCCTCGTTTTTCTTTATGAGTCCTGGAAATTGAAGAACTCTGGTGTGAGCGCTAATACGGACATACTGTATGTGGGTCTATTCATGGGGTTGTAGGGGTCAGTGGGACCAGAGCCAGCATCCCTCTAAAGCAGCTGCTCACTGAGTTCCTTTCGCATTCTGAGCGTTCTGCGAGGCACCACAGCGGCCCTGTGAACAAGTGCCCACTTAGGGCATTTGCTTTCCTGTGGACTTTAGGGATCAGTGTAGCAGTTCCCAAGGTCAGTGCACACCTGCAGGGCAGGTAGGGAGGTTGAGTTTGTGCTCCTAGAGTTTCTGATGGAGTGGACCTGGGGAAGGGCCTTGGATTCTCAGCTGGTCTTAAGAGGGTCCCGTGTTGGGGCCCCATGAACCATGTTTTGAGATCCAGTGTGCTTGTGAGTTATGGATTTGGCTGATGGAACTAAAGGTGTGCCTACAGAACTGGCCCAAGTGGCTTAGTAAGCTGAGGTCATTCATGCACAAAGCAATGAAGAAGCTGCTGCTGCTGCTTCTTTTTTTTCCAGTACCAGGGATTGAACTCAGGACCCTGCACTTGCCAAGCAGGCGCTTATTCTACTGAGCTATCTGCCCAGCCCTTGGAAACTTCTTACTTGGCTTATTAAAGAAATCCTATTGGAGCATCAGGCAAATCAAAGCTGGGACTGACTGTTGCACCCTGGGCCAGGGCCTCTTCTCAAATCTCTAGATACAGTGCTGTGCAGTGAGGTGGGGACCAGGTCAGACATGACCTGAGGACTTGCATACCTTTCTGCCTTTAGCTTTCCAGCTTAGTCCCTGTTGAGAAATATGCTAGCTTGTCCTGCATGTACCCTCCCACCCTCCAAGCTGAACTAATAGATGAATTTAGAAGCCACTTTGGTTTGGGGGAAATGCAGGCAACTTGCCTTAGGCACAAAATATTTCTCAAAGAGTCGCTGGTAAACACTGGGTGTGGTGGCACACACGCGTGTAATCCCAGCGCTTGGGAGGCTGAAAACAGGAGGATCACTACCGAGTCCGATCTGTGTAGTGAGACCCTGTACTAAATACATTTAAAAAAAAAGTAGCAGGTAATATGAGCTGTATTTTTAGTGCACTTATACACTACAGTAAGTAGTTCTGTATGACCCTGTAGTTTAGCATTTGCAGAGCTCTAGGTTTCCATACTGACTTTGGACATACTTTGGGACATTGTCCTCAGTGTCTCAACCCTGAGTAATCAGCCTGGTGTAGACTTCCCAGAAGTTGGCCTGATAAATTCTGACTTAGTCCTAGGCAACAGTAAAAGGTTAGAAAGAAAGAAACTGCTTGGATTCTTCTCTGAAGGAGAAATTTTAAGGAGAGAAAGGGCCCAGTGGATGGCGTCCAAGCCATGACTCCAGTTCCTCTTTCATTGGCCGCTATTGATTCATTCAGGCTTTTAATTTTTTTTTTTTTTGTCAATAGCTGTTTGTATGATGTTCAGAAATAGGATGCAGAATAAAATTTGTTAAATGTTCAGTGCTTATGTGATCTACCCATATACCACACTGGGCATGTATGCTTTAAAGAGCTGTGTGCCTTATATTTTGTTTCTGAATATTCTGGCAGTGTTTTCATTATGTCATATCTCTATTAAATCGCTGTGGAGGGCCAGCCAGATAGCTCAGCGGACGAAAGTGCCTGCTTAGGCAGATGCAGGGACCAGGGTTTGATCCCCAGCGTGCCATGCCAGCCCCGCCCCCTGGGGCACACTGAGTCAGCGATTGAGACTGGGTGTGGTAGCGTGCACCTGTAATCTCAGCGCTTGGGAGCCTGAAAACTGGAGGATCACTATGAGTCCAGTCAGTGTAGTGATACCCTGTAGCCCCTGTCCTAAATACATAAAATAATAAAATAAATAAATAAATCACTTTGGAAGGGCAGTGCAGGTAGCTTAGCAGAATAAGCACCTGCCTGGCAAGTGCAAGGCCCTGAGTTCGATCGCTGGTATGCAAAACAAACAAACAAAAAGTCAGTGTGGAGATAAATTAGGAAAAGTGTAAATGTTTTCTACCTGCTAAATGGAGGAGTTGAGAAGGCACTTACCTACAAAATCATACTGTGCCTCTGAAAGTCTCGGCAAAATGTTTTAGTGCCCACCGCTGCTTCTCATTACCAGCAGTGGAACTTTCAGAAGAGGGAGCCTGACTGGGGCAGCTGGTCTTGAAGCCCCCGTGCGGCAGGAGCTGTCGTGGGTGCTGGGGCCCACACCCTCTCTTCTGATGGGCCAGTGTCCTCTTGTCCCGGTTGTTAGGTCAGCGGTGCTCTTGCTGGTAGGCGGCACGTGGCGTTTGCTGAGCACCTGCTGTGGGCAGGATGTTGTGCTGGGTGGTGACAGGAAGAAGCGGGAGGCGTGGCCTTGGCCTGGCAGGTGTATGCACAGTGAGTGAGCCCTGAGCAAGCACAGTAACTGCTCCAAGACTGGTAGTCCAAATCTTGTTCTTAAAGCCCTTTAAGGATGCCATTTGCCTTTGAGGTTTGTTTAATTCTAAAGTAGAAACTTTGTAGCATGTATAGCTATGATGGAAGAAGGTGTGTCTGTCCCCTTTCTACATTCCAGGGTCCTGTCTTCCCTTGTTTCAAGAGACTGCCTTCGCCCCAGTCTGTCTGTGAGCTCAGGCTGTTAGGGTCAGGATTCTCACGCATCTCTACTTCACTTGAATATTAGAGTGCAGGTGTCTCAGAGCATGGCAGGTAGTGGCAGGCGTCAGAAGCAAGCCAGAGGGGAACTGAGAGCAGCTCCTGAGAGCACCGTTCTTCCTCCTTGCTCTTAGCTCATCTTATACCTTGCCTTCATATTGTTTCACATTTCTCAACACAGTGTACTAAGCTTCCCTGATTTACCAATTAAACTGGCTCTCATTCGTGGATTGGATTTGGAATTGCATGGGTTTTGCATGTTCTTCTACTTTGATTTGAATTTGCTTTTTCAGTAACTTGATTGGCCCTGAACTACTACCAGGTACAACAACCAGTGGTCTGCTGAGGCTGTGAGCGCCACCTAACTCCCCTCTCTTCGCCCTTACTAATACAGACAAGAGCATAAGCGCCCCAGATTAAGCTTCTAACTGGAATTAATGGTGAAATGTCTTCTGGACTACATTTCTTTTTATAATTAAAATCTTTGTAAAGTTTTAGATTTCTTCTCTTCAAAAAGCACTAACTCTAGCTTTTGTGCATTTACAGTCAGTTACACTGTTTGTTTTCTTTTCAGGATTCCAGCCCTCTGCTAAATGAAGTTTCTTCTTCCCGCACTGCACCTGACCCCCAAGCCTTCCCCCCAGCTAGCAAGCCGTCATCTGCCTACCCCTCCACCACCATCGTCAATCCCACCATTGTGCTCCTGCAGCATAATCGAGGTAAGGTGGCCTTAGCAGGGGCCGCCCCAGCTCACGGAGTCAGCCCTGCTGCCTTCGGTGTCTCAGGCACGACGTCTGTCGTTCACGAATCCAGTTCCGTGCTTTCTGCCCCACTTTACCTCTTTCCGTGATTCCTGAGGTTTATCTCCGTGGGCAGATGGAGGTTGCTAACTCGAGATGATATCAAGGGTCTGAGAAGTTAGCTGGGATAATGTAATTATGTAGACCTTACCTTGGGTGTTCATGCTTTGCATAGAAAATCGAGCGGTGTTTTGGTGTTGTTTTGTTCTTAAATAGGATCTCTCTCCCTTTTTTTTTTTCTTTTCAAAACTGCTTTATTAACCTCACAGTATGTTATGAGCATCTTTCCATGCAATAGGCATAGTCTGCTACTGAAAGTGATACAGTCTGGGTCAAAAATAAACTCTGTTAGAAGCTGTCATAGGAGGCACATGCAAAGCCGTGACATCAAAAGGCTCACCATAGTACCTCACACACATAAGGTTAGGAAGCGGGTGTTTCCGAAGGTGTTTTAACTTCAGGGAAAACACCCAACTCAGGGCATAAGGCCGAAGGCGCTGTGATGCTCGTGGCGAGGACGATCACTACTAGCTGCCCGAAAGCTTTTCCGTGAGGCGTCTCACTCCTCCCAAACCTTCCCACATGCTCTTCTCGCATCCGTGCCCATGGCTCTCCAAGCCTATGCATCAGGTTCCCTCTTTCGTGCAGGATGGCTGCCCGACTTCGAATGTCCTTGGATTTGCATTAGGCACCCCGTATCCATCAGCTTCGCAAGGCAGGGCTGAGGCTCCCCTTTATTAGCATGTAGCTCCTTTTCATCTTTTTCTTTGTTTTCTTGCTGGGCATTTTCAGTGTTGAGATTTTCATCCCTAGTTCCTGCTTGGATTACATGACTCTTGCTTCTCTTATCTCGGACAGCTCCAGGCTGCCCCAGGCCCGCGTCCTCTGGGCGTAGGTAGGGCCTCTTAGACCTGGAGGCTGTGAGCCTCTCAACAGGATCTTGCTATACGGTTCAGGTTGGCTTGAACTCACTCTATGTCCAAGGCTGACCTCACACTCCTGGTGACCCTCCTGTCTTAACCACCTAGCACCAGGGTTTCAGACATGTGCCAACTGCAATCTAGCTGAAAATCTAGGTGTTTAAAGTAATGTCACCAGTGATTTAGTTCTTCGACATGATAACTTTCTAGGAAGCATAAGTTTGAATACCTAGTTTAAGAAAATAAAACAGATTGGATAGAAAACTTTCCAAAATATAAAGCATGCTTTTGAACCCCTGAAACGCACCCCTGGGCTCCTCCTTAGCACCCTGCGCTCTCCTCCTGGCCGCGCCTGCTCTGGCTGCTGCCGGGCACCGCCCTCTGGGACTGACTCCGCGGGTGTTGGCCGGCCCACACTGTGCAGTGGCGCGGCTCCGGAGGGGGTTTCTCGGTTGGCTTTTATAGTTTCTCTGTTTTGGCTGGTTTTGCTACATTCCCAAAGGGGCCTGGTGTGCTGTGGACCCCTCTGCGTTAAATTCCCGGACAGTGATTCTAAGTCCTTAGTTTTCCTTTCTGAAACTCCACAGAGGGATATACTTGCCTTTTACAAAAGCCCTTTGCAGTGTGAAAAGGAAAGTTTTCAGGCTGTGTTGCAGTGCGGAAGAGGCCTGTTCAGTGTGAATTTCAGAAAAAAAGTGGAGATTCACGCACGCTGCTCAGGCTCGCAGCCCGCGTCCGCTCTCCCTGGGACTCCCCTGCCGCCTGCCTCGTTTCCTCCCGTCTTGCCCCTCCCTTCTGCATCAACTTGGACGCAGCGAGATTGGAGTCTATTTTTAATTGTTGTTCATTCTAAATAGTTTTCTGTTTCCTGCTTCTAACTTGAAAAGTAGATGCATAAAACATTTTCTCTTACTTAGAATATTCCCACTTAAATCTTAAATAGTCGTTTCAGTGGTTTTATTTTTGAAGCATGTGGATTTTCATATTCATTTTCTCTCATGCGTCTGTGTACTTCAGAAAAACCCGGCTCCCGGCCTCCGCCCTGAACTTTGTACCAGCCCTCGCTTCTGCCAGCTGTGCCACCCTCTACTGGCAACAACTCTCCTGCCCAGAAAGTGTCTAGTGCAGGACAAAGTGAACGCTGCTTCTCTTCTTTATGACTCACTTAAGAGAAATCTAGTCAAGCAATTTAATTCCCAGAAGGAAAGACAGTTTCTTTAAAAATGGGATTTATTCTCAAAGCAACTTAAGTTCTTCTAAAATGCCAGTGTCAGCTGCTGTTGCCAAGCCCTCCTGACAGTCCTGGTGAGAAGTCTTTGGACGCGGCTGTGACTGCGGCTCCTCTTTGCTTCTGGAACAAATGAGTTCCTCTAATTTATCCAGATACCTTTGATTCTTGCTTCCTCTTTTGGCCAAATCCTGCCCTTGGGTTTTTAAACTCATAATTTAAAACTCACATGACACACATCCTTCAGAGAAGAACACAAATAATATTAGTTTTTTTAGAATTAAATGGGGCCTCCCATAAAGAGTAAAACCATATGTTCCCTAGCAGGTGGGGCAGGAAGGGTTGAAAAGAATGGGAGGCCAGCCCAACCCTGCATTACTAATCCTAAGTGGGGTCAAGGGCAAGTGCGGTGGTGCGACTTTGGAAATGACCTAACCTGGCATCTCTGCCTGAAATGCACAGGCTGCCCATGAGGACGGGGTAACTACTGCACAGTCTCTCCAGGGAATGAAAACTTTACTTTTGGAACTCTGCTTCAGTCATCTTAAAGTCCCCCTTGTCGCCTGCTTAGATGGACCCAGGGTATCATATGACAGTGTTCCCATCTCTCCAAGCCACCCGTTTGTCCACCCTAGGGACAAACGGAGCAGCCCCAAACCTCTGACCTTAGTCTCGATAGCTGTGGGCAGCACAGTCCCCTCCCTCCCTCCCTCCTGAGCTCTCCTCTCACATGCGGTAGACGACGAGGTACTTAGTGCCCACCTGGGGAGGAGGACTGGGATCAGAGACTTCCAGGACTGACAGGGGTGCCTGTGTCTCTTTGCTCTGGGCTTCTCAGTGCTTCTTATGCTTCAGATCCCCAAAGCTGTGAGCTTGCAGTTTCAGGCTGAGGAGCTCTGAGGAAAGGAAGAGGATGAGAGAGTGCGTTTTCGGAAAGCCTGCCAGTGTGCCAGCGCTTCTGACCACCGGAGGTTCCCAGACACATGGGCATACGAAACCGCCCAGGGATCACCCATCGCAGCTAGCTTCTTCCTTTGCTATGTAGCGCTGCTGAGAAACAGCTGCTACTTGTGTGTGACATCCTGTGAAAGATAGGCCATTCCACACCATACTCTTGCAAATTGCGCGCCTTCACGTCTGCTGGCTGTGGAGGACCCTGCCACCCCCCACTTCAGTAGGGTTGCAACCATAGTTCCCTGGAGGTACTGCTGCATACCTTGATGTTACCAATGAAGCAGCTGAAGCCAAGAGGTTATGTGGCTGGCCGCTGCCTTCTGCTAACTTGTTGGCAAAGCCTCACGTGGTGCTCCACTGGGCTTCTGCAGTCCAGCCCATGCAGACCCCATCCACACAGCAGAAGTGGACGTGGCCCTTCCACTCGCCGTGAGCTCCTGCTGCTCTGCTTGCTTTTGTTCACACTGATTCTAGCTGGAGGATGGGAATATGGCCAAGAGGGAGTGATGGCACCCAGGGACTGGCGAATGTTCTATTTTTGTCTGTGTGGCTGCTTTATACTTAGCAGCTGTGGAAGGTAAAGGTCATTTTTGTGTTTATCAAATAGCAAGTACACACAGGGCTCTCCAGTGGAGGTGTTGACTTCAGCTCCGTGGGGTGGCCCAGGAGAGTGAGAGACCATTAGACCTGCAGCATTGAGGGCAGCAGGGCGTGGTGACTGGGCTGGGAAGAACACTGGAGTAGGAGTTGGGGCTCCAGGTTCTGGATTTAGATCATTTTCAGTGCTCTGTTGGGTAATTTGGACCCCTTCCTAGGTCTCTGGTAAATGCTGATTGTTTTAGGATTTCTCACACACTCTGGACCCAGCCAGAGTGCTACAGCGACTAAGCCTGTACAGTGAAAAAATGATCATGCCTAACCCCCGGGGCTGTTGCTGTGTTAAGCGTAAGATCGCCTAAAGCAGAGTCTGGCATTTAGCAAGATCTCAGGAGCTGGCAGCTGCTATTCTTACGGTTCTAGTCACATTTCTCTCAAAAGATACTGAGCCTGGATCATATGAAGTCTGGTTGTGTGAAACTGGAGGAGTTGGGAGGATTTCCTTCAGTGATGAGATCATCTTAATGACATAGAACCTTCTAGAAGATAGGCAGGCCCATGTCTGGCGCTGATCTGGGGAGGGAGCTGGGGGATGTTTGGGACCCCAACTCTAGCTAGGCCATGCATTTTGGCATCTAAGCGCAAAGGACAGTGAGATTGCAGAATGCAGGGCCCTAACTACAGCAGCTAAGCCCAGACTTGCCTTGCCATGTACTGTATAAACCTCACACTGTGCTTTCTTTTCTTTTATCATAGAACAGCAAAAACGACTCAGTAGCCTTTCAGGTAAGTGAGAAATTAACTCTTGTTTCTGTTAAAGCTGGCTTTTAGTCACCAGCCCTTGTTCAGTCAACACAAATGTCTGAGCTCCTGTATGTATGGGGATCTGTGTTTGTTGCTGAATTGAAAAAAATGGTGACACAGGCATCGTTTCCACCCTCTGGAGCTCATTTCTGGGGTTAGTAAACCGACCTAGTGTCCATGTCCCGCAGAACTATGGTGAGTGCTGCAATGGTGAGGACAGGGTGTGCTGCCCGAGCGATAGAGGGCTCTGCTCTTCATACAGCTTTCAGGGCAGACCTCTGAAGAGGTTACCTTTCTGTTGCTGCGGTGACTATCCTAGGAGGTGCTGAGTCTGGGGCTGGAAAATGTGGGCAAGTTTGTTCTGAGTGGCAAACCCCTAGGCCAATAGATGACACTGGGAAGGAGGAGGGGTCTGTGTGAGTCTTCAGAGCAGCAGTTCCTGAAACTGCTTCTTTTTTTCTTTCTTTTGGTACCAAGGATTGAACTCATTACCTTGCACTTACCAGGCAGGTGCTCATGCTGTTGAGCTATCTGCCCAGCCCGAAAACTGCTTCTTGAATTTGAGCAGGCATCAGGGTCTCCTGGAGATCTTGTCAAAGCTCAGACTTCTGGTCCTTGTCTCTAGAGATTCAGGTTGGATGACTACAGAAAAGAATTTGCATCTTTAGTCAGCTCCACATGGTGTTAATCCCGTCCCCTCTGGGGCTGGGACTGTGAGTACTAAGTGGGCCATCAAGGCTGTGGTGGCAAAGAGTGACTCAGATGTCAGGGCCCAGTCCCTAAGGAAGTGTGCAGGTTTGTGCCGTAGTGTCAGTGTGAGGAGGGGCAAATGTGCTGCATCTGTGAGACATCCTAGGAAGAGGGCGATGGCTAGCTATTGCCACAGACATTTTGCTTGAAGGTCAGGAGACTGTGCTAACAAACAAGTGAGTGTGTGAGGTTGGCACTTGCTAAGTGTTTACTGGATGTGAATTACTGTTATCAGCAGGTGCCTCTGTTGATTCACTTGTCATTTTATTTAGTGCCTTCTTCGTTTCAGGCACAGAGCCAGGCTCTGGGGCTGCATCAGGGAATGTGCTGTCTGTAGTCAGCTAATGGTGTGATGTGATGTTTTGTCATGTGTCTTAGGTCATGTCCTTCTTGGGTAACCTAATAAAGGCAGTAGATTCATTCTTTATAAAAGCCATGTCTATGTAGACACATACACAGGTTCCGTGGACTTGCAAGTCCTCCAGAGTTGAGAACTCCTAAGCTGGCAAATAACCACAGCTGCCATTGTCTGAGCAGCTGCTACATGATTTCTGCATGACTTTTACCCCCCTGTCATTCTTGGGATTTTTGTAGCACCTGCGTAGGAAGGACATGGGGTTCCCTCCCACATGATCTTGGCCTTATCAGGACTTGGCCACAGGACCAGGACAGGCTGCGGTTGAGTTCAAGGTGCCCTTCACTGGGCTCCGCAAGCTGCCATGCTGCAGCTCACTGAATTCCCCGGCCCTCACTGAGGCTGCTGTGGACAGTGGCTCTGGGGAAAAAAATAGAAAATGGCTCCGGTGGACTCCTTTCTGTCTGTGGGATTTTGAAAGAAATAGTGGAATAGATGAAAAAAGCATCCAGCCATGTGTTAGGAGAGCCCAAGCGGGCCCTGGCTTTCCCTGCTCAGAGCTCTTGTCTTGGGGCAAGTGGCTCCGCCCTTTGGTTTCAGTGGTCTCGTGGAGGAAATGAGGACACTCTGCCTGGAGAAGTTGTCACATGTGACAGACAAGGAGGATCCTTTGTACGCTGGAAAGGGCCACATCCACCTCAGGGCTTCTCCGCCACCCTGGCAGGCCCAGCTGTCAAGCAGGCCTGGTGCTGTCGCCTCCCGTGGGTTGGGACAGATCCACTAATATTTCATAGTGAGCGTGGGACCGAGAGCAGGTACTCACCAAATTGTTAGTTTTCTGTTTAAATGGAAGTGTCATTGTGTTCAGGAGCCCCCAAAAGGCAGAGAGCAGACCGGGCTGGCCCGAACCGGCCTGGACTCCTGCCTTGGAGCAAATGAGGCTCACGTGGAGGCGGGACTCTGCGGCCACCAGCCTCCCTCCCTTTAGCAGAGCCTTCACTGAGTCTTGATGCTCAAAGAATGTTATCGGGGAAAGGAGCCTACCCGATTTAGGCCTGCGTGGCTCAGAGTCTCCTTGGAAGACAGGAAAGACTTAGAAGATAGGGAAACAAGGGCAGGATGAGGGCTACCACAGGTGTAGAGAGGCCACCCTCCTCTGGGGAAGTGTAGGCATTGCGGACATCCTCAGTTACAAAGCTCTGGGAAGGAGCCGGGGATGTAGCTCAGTGGCACAAGCACCTGCCTGGCAAAGGCAAGGTCCCGAGTTTGATCCCCAGTACCAAAGAAAAGCAAAAAGCAAATTTGAAAAAAAGGAAAATTTTAACTCTGCTCCTATAAATAGAGGCCCTGTCTGAAGTTGTCAGCAGTATCATTTATTTAGTAGTCTTTAAAAAAAAAAACACAGCATAATAGAAAACAACACCCCATCATCTGCAGGATTTTTGTCTGCCTGGTAAGAAGAGCAGGCTTTCACTGTAACATGGATGTTGGAAGGTGGCTCTGCTATCTGCACGAGACATTTGTCACTTTGCGTTTTCACTGTATAAAGTAACACTTTTTATTTGTTCCTTCCTACATCAAAATCCACTTAGTCAGGAACTACATGATAATAAACTTTGAAAGTAAAATCATTCTGGGCTAATTGTTATAGATCAAAAGGACTATGGGAAATCCCTGAACCATTATCCCGAGTCTTACAGTTAAAGGGATTGCTGTTGCAACCATCTGCCCTACTGATTTTTTTTTTAGAGAATTATTATAGGTCTAGAGACCCTTGGAAATTCATGTCTGTGGTCTGTTCCGCCTACAGCGTTAGAGTGATGAGCACCTTTGTGCACCAGGTGGAGTGGGGACCCGCTCGCCTGCCCTTCTTGGTCTCACTTAGGGAAGCTTTTCCAAGTGGCAGGAGCATGCTCAGAGAGCCAGATTAAGGATCGGCTCAGAATACCCCTGCGCTTCCTGCCACACGTGTGTCCTCAGTCTTCATTTGGAATTTCCTGGGAGCGTGAGGTCTTACCCTCTAGAGCCAGGCTGGCCCAAATCCTTTAAAGTAGATGGCGATTGTGCCCGCAGCCCCGTTTTTGAAGCGCTCACTGAGTTGCACATGGAACGTTTAGCAATCATCCTGCCACCCAGGTGGAGCATAAGTCACAGCAGTTTGTTTGAAATCAGGGCAAGAGTCACCCTGCTGGAAACAGTAAACCCGAGTGCATGGGCTGCCTGCTCCCGGCACGCCCAGCCCCCTCCCACGGATGCCTCTGACTCTCCCACACCTTCGCATGGACCCTCAGGTCCTCCTTTTTTTTGCCAAAGTACAGTGAGACCTCAGCTGAAAACTTTCTTTTTTTCATAATTTTGGGTCATCAATTGAATTAGAGGAGAACAGAATCAAATTTGCCCCTGAAGTCGGCATTGAACCTAACCATTAAATTTGATTTGCTGCCCGTCCAGTTTGGTTCGGAGAGGAAGCGTGGAAAGAATGGAGTTGGGGAGCTGGGGTATCACTGGCACAGTCCCCAGCCCAGTCAGTGAGCGCTTAACTCACTGCCACTCAACTCTCCACGCCCTTCATTCTCTCACGGGCCTTACTGATAGGACTTCAGGCCTCTGAGGCTTAAACCTTTTCCGTTGCCTGTAACATTTTCTTCTCTGTGCTGAATGCTCTTCCTACTTCCTGTTTATGCCTCTGTCCCTTTTCCTGCTCTCTGGCACCTGCCCTTCTGGGACTGTTTGCGCTCGGTGTTCCTGTGACTTTCCTCTTGTTTAATCCAGTGCCTCCTCTTCTGCTTCAGTTTTTGGGTAGGTGGTTTTTTTTTTTTTT